AAGCAGTGGTATCAACGCAGAGTACTCCAGCAAACGAGAAATACTATTTTTAGGCAGTCGAAACAAGCTATTTACTGCAAAAAAGTCACTATTTCTACACTAAGCTATAATCTTCTACAATATGTCAATTAGAAGAGCTTCTCGCAGAGGCGCGCACTTGCAAATTTGCAATCTTTTGCAATCAGCGCTTCATTACCTATCAAGGCAGGACCACGCAGGTAAAGGCAAGTGCCAAGTATGCAGGACTCGAACCCTCGACCATCTGCTTCGCAGTCCCCTGCGTTGCCACCGCGCCACTGCCACACTCTGCGTTACTAGCGCCTCGCTCATCACTGGGTGCGCTGGCTGCGCCGGAGGAAAATGGCCTTGTAGCTCCCCCCCCCCCCCTCCCCACAAAATCGTTTGGCACCTAGCGAAAGTAGTTTTGAGTTTGCCTTACGGAGGACGGTTTCCTAATATACAGCTTCATTCCAAATGGCCACTTCGACCGAGTTTCCTTCCCGTCAGCTTTGTGTCTTGCATCGGAAATAGCACCGAATGTATGAATTATTCTCAACGCAAAGTCAACTAAGTATTATTCAAAAGTTGAATTGTTTTTTTAGAAGTAGTTCAATCTTTACTCAGTAACTTTCCATTCTGTACCATCTTTATTGTAATGAAGTGAATGACAATATTCTAAATTTACTCGATTATCACCATCAGCAGGAAAAATAGTTTTTTAAACCTTGCTATAAAAGAAAATAGCACCGAATGTATGAAAGAAACAGTCGGTGTATAAGCCGCGCTGTTCTATCTCATTCAGTAGCGTTGACTAAACTTTTCCATGAAGAGTTTGGTGTTCGAGCAAGCAGCAAACCACAACCAATTCATAATTTTGGCTTTTTAGAGAATTTACTACTTTTTTTAGACTCTCAATTAGCGCAAACTTTGCATGGAATAACTTATAAAACTCGAATTCCATTGCAGATATCACATTCATGACCATCTAACACAGAAAAATAAAAATGGAATAGTTTTGATTCATTGTTTTCTGCATATATTAGGTCATTCCTAAAGTAACTTCGCTTTTTTCAAAGGGGCGCCACATCTGAAGGAAGAGTGATTTCTAAGAGATCTTCGTAGCATTCGATGCAGCATTTCATCCTCTTTTTAACTGTGGTAGATTCGTCGCAGCTCAGTTCATTGAGCTTTCGGAAAATATTCAAACCCTGCGACCCATGCTTTTTCAAATGGTCAAGTTTCACAATTTCTCAAAACATTCATGTCAAATCTCAGAAGAAGTTCAAGTGACGATTAGATAGAGCAAACCCTACAGGATACAAACCAATTTTTTCTCTTCTTCAAATACCAGTGGCGTACCGAGGGGGGGGAGCGGGGGGGGGGCGCGCGCCCCCCCCCGAGAATGGGTCGCGAAATTTTTGAAAATTACTTATACGGGTTATAAAAATGTGCAAATGACTTGTTTATACTTGTAAATAATTAAAATATTTTTTAAAAATTTTTTAAAATTCAAATTAGCCTTGTAAAAAAATTTTTTTCGGGGGCGTGGCTGACGCCACGCCCCCTTTTTCCAGATTTTAGGGGTTAAGGACCCGCAAAAAATTTGAGAAGCACCCCTAAAATTTTTTCGGAGTGGTGCGTGGCTGACGCCACGCACTTTCATTAAAAAAATTTTTTTGTCGCCCCCCCCCGAGCCGAAATCCTGGGTACGCCACTGTCAAATACCTCCTCAAAATTTTTTTAATAAAATTTTAACTGATGCTACCAATTTTCATACTTGGTCAACTCAAATCTCGTAAAACATCAATGAGCGAGCAGCTCGGGTGCTGTTTGATGCAGCTTTCTTTCCTCTTTCTAATAGGTGTTTTTTGTTCCCGATTTGTTCAATCTTTGGGGATAAAATCTTCATAACTCATGTTTTTGAACGCGCCCAAGGCTGTACCCGAAAAACTCGAAGTTCAGTATTTCGAATCCGTAAGCTCTCATTTGCCTTATAAAATCAACATTGAGTCAAATAACATCTTGGAAGCTACAAATTCCGAGCAATTACTGATGTTTGATGCTGTTTGATGCGATTGTGACTGACATAGGCTTGCCAAAATCCTATGGTTCTGGTAAAAAATTTCAAAAAATTACGGCGAGCTATGAG